ATCGAGAATGCACATTGGAACCACAGAACGAAAATATTGGACACTGCATTAGAATACACAACGATTAACACCTGGGACTAGAAGTTCCGAAGGAAACAACGCGAAGAAGTAAACTTCCGTGTTTGGGAGAGCGAAAATCTTACTGCAAGTCTTAACGAAACAGAAGGGAACGTTCTGCAACCCGCTATAACCAGAATCCATGTGTGATCCGCTACCAAAGTAGTCCTCTTGTATTCCGCTACAAAATGACTCCCCTTAGAAAGGGTTCCCGGACCCCCACCCCCGGGAATCCAGCGGCGCGCCCTCTGGCATCCATGCACGATACTCACGGCTCATGTCTGGTGTTGATGTGCGCGGTTGTTGTCGATTATAGGCGTCCGTCCTTGATATGTGTTTGCTACTGATGTCAGCCACCGTGCCGCTAGGCACTGAACGGAGCACCTTTCGGACCCTTGAATTTGTTATGTTGAGCGTTGCAAATGTTGTTTTAGGAACCCAGGCCCCCAATGGCCGGATCTCCTGCGGGATTCTCGCTTGGATTCGGGGGGGGTCCCGTGATTTTCCCTGGGGTCGGAGAGCCCCAAGGCCAAGTGGTCCCAAGAGGGTAGTTGAAGTCCAAAAGGGCCACCAGACGGCCCAAGAGGACCCCGACACCTCCGTTTGCGAACGGCAGTTCTACGCGAAGTTGGGAACCCAAGGCGGCTACAAAACGTACCAAAAACCCCCCGAGAAACCCCAAGAGGACCCGCAGGAAAGTTCCGAGAGGTTCTATTCACTGTTGCCCTATAGTTTTGTCTACCGATGTTTGTTTCCTCGCCTTGTCCGGCTTCGGGCATCCCAGAGCAACCCCAGAGAGCCTCAAGATCACACCAAGACAGCCAAAGAGCCACAAGATTGACCAAGAGGACCTCAACCAAGACGACCCAGAAGGGCACGAAACCGGCCCAAGAGGCTTCCAAATGCCTTGAGGGACCCAAGAGTAGGAAAGCGAAGGTGCTTCGAAAGCGTTTCCCCCAATGAGTGCCTTCAAGACACCCAGCATGCCCCAAGGAGCCCCCCTTGAAGCGCCGAAGAAGCTTCAAGAGAGGTCAAAGAGGCCACTCAGAGGCCGCCGACCTTTGGCCAACAACCCCGAAGGCAACTCGATTGGGCTGTGATTCGTTTGCTGGTGCGTAGAACAGGTGAATGTGATTCATTGGTGTTGTTGGTTCCTGTCGCTAGTATATGGTGCGATCGGCTATAATAGTTGCATGTGTGGTGTATGCGTGCTGTAGATGTCTGCTCGTTACGCGTGTACTGGTGTACGTTGCTGGTATACGTTGTTGGTATGTACGCCTGGTGCGGGCACATGCTGTATGTGATTGATATGTGGCCTTGCCGTGTCATGCGAACGTGGGTTAATAATATATGATGATAGTGTGTGTGTGTTGTTGATGACTGCTATGTGTGCGTGGTGTTGGTGTATGCCGTCGTTGTCAGTTCCAGGTTAATCATCTCGGACATGTTTTATTTATGATCCAACTATTTGTGTGACTTGTGGTTGATGAATATGGTTGTTGCACTTCTGAATGACCGTCGCTGCCGTACTATATCGGTGCGTTATTGGCGTACGATCGTGATATATGTTGTCGGTGTCTAGTCGATCTGCATGGTGTTGACGTATGTGTTGTGCCTGCTCTTGGTGTCTGTCGTGCATCGTTTGTTCTTCATAGCTTGTACCACATGGTTTGCACCACACGGCGTACGCGACTCAGCTTACGCCATATGGGTTTCCAGCCTGCACCACACAGTTTACACATCCGCAGTGCAAACATCTACTGCTTGCGGCCAACGCTTGCCAACACAAATTGGATGGAGGAGTTGCGGGATCGACCTGGATGGCCAAGAACCGGTCTGCTAAACCGAGGCTCGGGCCCGGAAAAGGTCTGCGGGTGCTCGGTGGTCGTGTGCGCTTCCCCCTCCCCAGGTTCCAGAGAAGCGACACGATGGCTGTGCAGATGGACTTCCAGAGGCATGGCCGCCCCTCCCTCTCGAGGCAGGCTCAGCCGCAGGTGCAGTGAAATATGAGGATGGGGAGGAGGACGACGACGAGGATGAAGATGAGGAGACAGAGGGGGGTGAGAAGTGAGGAGAATGAGAGGCAGGAGGGGGAGGAGGGCTACAGTGTATCAGGTTGCGTTGCCGAGGTTATTCTCCACGGCTCGGGGGCAGGGGGGCGCTGCAAGCACAGCTCTCCTTATTCCTCCTCCTCCTCCTCCTCCTCCTCCTCCTCCTCCTCCTCCTCCTCCTCCTCCTGTCCATCTTTCCCTCTTCGCGAGAGGGGAGGAGGAGGAGGAGGAGGAGGAGGAGGAGGAGGATTTGCTGAGACTTCGCTCGGACGGTCGCGGTGCAGGGCCGAGACCGCGAAGCACATCTCTGGCCAAGCTCCATGTGGGATTCGGAAGGCATGGTTCGATTACACGGGCAACCGGGCGGCGTCGGAACTAGTTCTGGGCATTTCGCGTAGCCCCACCAGCCCATCCAGAAACCATGCCTTGAACAGGGATGTGGGGGAGAAGGCAGTGGAAGAAAGGGCTGGGTAAGACGTCGTACCCCAAGAGGGGGAGGATGGAGGAGGAATCGGAGGTGGAGGAGGAGGAGGGGGTGAAGGGGGTGGAGGGAGGAGGAAGGAGGAGGAACAAGTGGATTCGGAAGATGAGGGGGGGATGAGGAGGAGGGCGAGCAGAAAGGGCAGATGTCTCTTGGATGCCTCTCGGATCCTCGTCGAATTTCTTTCGAGAGCTTCTTGGAGTCCTCTTGGGGCGTCTTGGGAGTCTCTCCGAAGTCTGGGGGGCCTCTTGATGCGTCTTGGGTGCCTCTAGGGGGCCACATGGAACCTCTTCGGGGTCTCTTTGGGGCATCTGGGGGGCATCGTGGGAGCCCATTGGGGCTTCCTGGGCACCTCTTGGGGCCCTCTTGGTGAAGAAGGGGGTTGGACGAAGAAGAAGCTCCCTAAACCACTCAGGATCAGAGGGCTGGTGGGGTTAGACCTCCCCGCGGCAGAACCATCCTTCATTCGATGGCTTGGCAAGCACAGCCCACGCGTTGAGAAACGGAGCGCCTCGGTCTTCTGGATGCTGTCCTTTCGGCCCAGCAGAACACCTCGGTCTGGTTTGGCATGGGATTCGTTACCCGTTGGCGGCACCGTGTAGCAAAGTCATGGCTGTGTTGCGCCATAGAAGATGGAGATAGTGACGTGAATTGTTCTCGAGTCTCCCCGACATCCCTGGGCAGTCGTGCAATTCTTGACGCTTTGTGTGTCTCCGCCAGCCCATCCAACAACGATGCACAGACGATTTGACTGTTTCGGGGAAGTGTGGGAGCACGAAGTGGAGCACAGAGAGGGGGCAGCTGTCGAACGAACATCGGGATCAACCAGAAGCGCCTTCGCAGATCTTTCGATGTGGGAGCATGTTGGCAGCTTACTTGGGCCATTGGGGGGTCTTGGGGCCATTTGAAAAGCCATTGTGGCACTCTTGGGGCCCTCTTGGGCTCCCCTGGAGCCATCGTTGGAGCCTTGGGGGTGCTCATGGGGCAATCTGGGAGGCCATCGATCAAAGAAAGGGGATAACTAATTACGGACCCCCGTCGGAGGCAGCAGAATTGCCTCTTGGGAAGCTCTTGGGCGCTCTTGGGGCCGTCTTGGCCCCCTCTGAGAGGCTCGCTTGGGCCACCTTGGAGCCATCTTGAGGCTTCAAGATCCCATCGTAAGCGAAAGGACGAGAAGACACAAACGTTGACGTGGCCTTCCGGGGGGGTCTTGGAAGTATCTTAGCCACTTGGAACCGTCTCGAGACGGTCATGGTGCCTTTTGGAGGCATGTTGGAAACTATATCCGGCCATATTAGGCTATCGTGTGCGACCATGGAGGCCATCTTTGGCTATCGGGGGCCCTCTTGGGACCATCTTGGGCCCGCTTGGACGCTATAACTCCTCGCGACCAGGCCCGTCTAGACCCAGGGAGGGGGAGAGGTAAACCTTTCACCGAAGGAGAAAAGGTGGTTGGAAGAACTGACTCGCTAAACCACCTACTCCCAGAGGGCTGGTGGGATTTGTGACCAGGTGCAGTCGGGCATTGCAGGAAATCCAGCTCAATATTCACAGCGATTTTACGCGTGATCTTTGTCATCATTGGTTCCAGTGAAGGCTGAATGAGGCGCAATATTCAATGTTTCGTGTAATTGTCAGTGCAACCATCTCATATGCAGGCTTAGTCATATTCTGCCCCACTGCCTGCAAAAGCGGCTTGTCATGAACAGGCTTTTGAGTGATTAGCAGACCCTGACTTGCACGATCCGCTGCAGCTTGGCCTGCCATCGGCTTGAACTTTCGAGTTGTCGGCCTCCGGGGGGCCTCGAGGGTCCCTGGCACAACACTTGGCATCGCTCGGACGTGTGCATTTTTCCTTCGGCGAGGACCATCGAGGAGCATCCTTGATCATTTGGCGAACCACGCACGAAACCGAAACAAACACAGGGAATGGACGTCCGAGCGATGGCGAGAACAAAAATGGACGGCCCAGAACGAAACATTTGTCTGGGCGAAGGTGTCGGGGCCTCTGGGGGCCGACGTTGCGAAAAGAGCACGGCGTCGGATGACGGGGGTTCTGTTGTTCACATCAACGATCTGTTTCTAGGCCCCCTAGATGGGGTCGGAGTAGATGTGGTCGGAGGATCGCGCCGCATCGCCGATGCCTCGCCGATGCGGCTCGATGCGGAGCCTGATTTTCTCCACGCGATCGTCGCCGATGCGTCGCCGATGCATCGCTGTTGCATCGCCGATGCATCGCCGATGCATCGCCGATGTATCGCTGATGCAGCGCGATCCTCCGACCCTATTTACTCCGACCCCATCTAGGAGGCCTCTATTGTTTAAGCCTCAGCTGGCCTCATTACTCGATCATGCGCGTGTTCAGACATGGCTCACGAGGTACAAGGCTGTTGCCAGTTTCCGGGGGCGCGATGTCCGTGGGGGGTCGCCCGCCGGTGCACTCCACGTTCTACCACGATGCTCCTCGGCCAGTCACTCTGAAGTGCAGCTATGGCGATGAGGTTGAGCTCCTCGAGGACGTGCACGTGGTGAAAGCCACTCTAGGGTGCGACAAGAACAGGAGGCGCGAAAAGTCAGAGAACGTGAGGCAAGCCGTGCAGCAGCTGTACGACGCGGGCATGCGCACCTTGCCCGCGAAGCTGCTCTCCGACGGCAGTGACCTCTCGTGCCGGTGCTGCCCCGACGGGCCCTGGCTGTCTGTGACCCTCGGCAGGGGGCCGGCGAGATCGCCAAGGTCCCGCTCTGCCGAGCTCCCGCGCGCGGAGGCCTCTGGCAGGAAGCGCGGGCACGAGGAGCTGAACCCGCGCGACAAAGCAAAGCTTGAGCACGTACTGAAGGAGCACGGGCTCGACGTCACCGCACACCTGGTGCTCGTCGACGCCCTGGACGAAGCGAGCAGGCGGGCGACGATGGCGCCCGGCAGGTACCATCCACCAGACGCCTTCACCACACGGACCATCGGGCAGGTGCACGAAGATTTGATGAGGTATGGCATCCTGAAGACGCCGCAAAGGACGCCGAAACAGCTGAATCTCACCTGCCCAACATCAGGCTGCCTACTCACGATGCTGCAATTCCTGATGTCCAGAGGGAAGGAGTACATCACAGGCAGCACTGACGACGAGAAGGATCAGAACAAGAGGAGGTTTGAGATGGAGCTTAATTCAGTTTGCTTTTACCTGGACATGCCGGAGGTGCTGAGCAAGTGGTGCGCGCTGCGCGGGCCAGGAGGTGGCAGCGGTCGCTCGCCGTGCTGCGTGCTGCTGCACGCTCAGGAGATCGATCCCCAGCACCTTAAGAAGTGGGCGATCATAGTGTGCAACCCGCTGGGCGAGCCCAGGCTTCTCAATCTCCAGCCAGAGGTATCTGAAGCCTTTAAGGTGCTGGAGAGGACAGGTGCGACCGTGACCTACGCCGACTCGTCGGAGGGCATTCCTGCAGGCGACTACGATGCCATCTACGTCATGGGCCACCTCAATGTGAAGGGCAGCCCAAGCGCCGCAGCACTGCTGCCGAAGGGGCGCGCGCCGCCCAAGTTTGCCGTCTGCAACGGATGTGCCTCGGAGCCGCTGGCGATGGAACTCCACGAAGCCGGCGTGCGCTTCGTCGTGTGCTGGGATGCGGAGGTGCCCGACGTCGTGGCCGCGACGTTTGGGAGGGAGCTGCTGATGCGCCTTGCAAATGTTGATGGCCCAATCGGTAAGTTCCAGATCGGGGAGGCGTTCAAATTCGCGATCGGTCGGGTGCCGTGGGAAGCGATCGCCAACTACCCGATCGCTGTTGAGGACGACGACGACGACGACGTCCCGGTAGCCACGGGTGCCCACAGCGAGCACGACCCGCCCGGCAAACCCGAGGCAGCCAAGCAGCCATACGCCAGGGCTGTGCAGCAGCACGACGACGAGGCGTTGGCGCGTGCTCTACAGCACCAGGAGTACGATCTGGCGCTGGTGCCAGATGCTGCGGGCTCCGAGGTGGTGGCGCGCGCGCTGCAGCGGGAGTCCGACGAGGCTGCGGGGCGCGCGCTGGCGCAGGCGCTCGACGACGAGCTGGCGGCGGATGTGACGCGGAGGGTGCAGGCGTTGCGGATAGCTTTGCCGGTCGACCTTTTTGTCCTGGTCGCGGGCTGCCCTGTGGTCGGCATGGCAGTGCAGAGGGCCAGCTGCCCGCCCGCCGCGGCGGCCCTCGAGCGCGCCGCGGCGGGCCTCAAGCGCGCCGCGGAGGTCACGTGCGGTGTAGTCGAGGCGTTCAAGCGGGCACGCCTCCCTACCTGAGCGGCGACTGCGCGCGACGGGCCAGGAGCCAGCAGCGCCACGCCAAATGGGTCGGTGGATAGGCGACGCCCGCTGGGCAGGTCTGGGCGCCAACGTTCCGTCCGCGCTTGACTAGCGGTGCCGCACCTTTTTCGTACACGTCCACCGTCTGCAGAGCTCATCCCTGCAGACTTACAGAGGTAGTCTCTGTGGCGCTCTTTTTTGCTCCGTACGTAGCTAGATCGGTGCCCAGTGCTTGCAGAGCCCGTCTCTGCTTGCCGCGCTTTTTGTATTCGCCCTCATAGCTGCGTCGGCCGCCCGCTGCTGCCTGTGTCAGAGGCGGGGACCGAGGCACGCGTCACAGTTGAGGACCGCGCTCGCGTCACCGACACATTTCAAAGACACCCCGGCCAGGCCCCAACGTCACGGCCAGCCGCCGCCTCTCGCCGCCGCCGGCCGCCGCCGCCGCCGCGGTGGCCCAGCGCTGCTTCTCGCGCGCGCCGTTCCGCGCCGACGTCCTCGTCCTCGCAGTCGCTGTGGCCGCCGGAAGCCGTTGCCGCCATCGTCGCCGCCGCCGTCGTCCCCAGGCCTCGGACGGGCTGGTTGTTCTCAGTCTCGAGCGTCTTTCGCGTTCATTTCGGCCGCCCGCGTTCGCTTTTGGGCTTGGGGGGCGTAAGACACGGACCGGGGAGGAAGAATGCCCCCAAGAGCGGGGTCGAGACCGCTGGGGCCCGCGCATCGAGAAGAGCACCATCATCGAAAACCTCGGGCAAGGATCGGGGTTCGAGGGCGAGGTTCGAGAATCGAGGCGCTGAGATACTGTTGGCACCCCTTCTGGCCCCCCCGTGGCCACAGCTGAATGAGTATTGAAAGACTGGCCAGAAAGCACTCAACGACAGGTCCCAGGGTCGGTTTTCGAGGCAAGGTCGTCGTCGTCGTCGCCGCCGTCGTCGTCGTCGTCGTCGTCGTCGTCGTCGTCGTCGTCGTCGTCGTCGTCGTCGTCGTCACCGAGACGCGAGAGGTATGTTTGTCCCCCATTTCTGGCCTGTGGAGGTCCACCCCGAGCCCAGGGACCATGAGCGACAACACCAAGGATACAGTAATGCCCAGGATGGGCCTCAGGAGAGCTCGGGAGCGCCAGTCGTGGTTCCCATGAAGGGGCTCCCACCCTGACGTGGAGACGCCCGTCTGAAGCCTACCTTGGAAAGTTCCTGGCCGCGTGTGGTGGCGTGTGGGCCTGTCCTGCCACCTCCTGGAGCCCCCTCCTAGCTCTTCCTGGACAGGCTCTGATCCCGAGGGGAGCGTGAGAGGCCCCGACGAGAGGAAGCGGACGAAGCAATCCTCAACGACAGCAAGCGGCTCCTTTCCATCCTCCGCCTGCTGGGCACGTGCTGGGAATTCCCCGCGGCCACGGGAGCACTGTTCGAGCCATCTTGGGCCCCTGTGGACGCAGCCTCACATCCATCTGAAAGCCACTAGGCCGAGCCTTGGAGCCCACCGTCTTCACTCTCGAGAGCCAGCTGGCCCCGGGACACCCACGGAGCGGCGAGCACCTGCCCGCCAGGCAGCAAATGCCACACGAACGTTCCGGCAGGCGTCCGCCAGAAGGTTCTGAAGCCATTTCTGCTGCACAGTGGAAACACATGCTAACGAACACCCTGCTTGCCTCCAGGGCGCCCTGGGCTTCCTGGGTTTCGAGGGTCCTACTGTGGAAAGCGTGAAGCCCCCACACCGGAGATCGATGGACGCCCTGGGGCCTCAGGGTTGGGTTTCTCGTGGAGGATTTGTCGTGGTCGAGCTCCTGCTGCAGGGGCTCACGACACCCCAGGGAATCCCCAAGCGGTTCAAGGCGAGCCCTGCATCGTCCCAAGACGCACCGTGACATCGCGGCCCCTGCAGACCGCAGAGTGCTTCAAGAGGAAGCCCAGCCTGGCCCAAGAGAGCGCCAAGACTGCCGTAGAGGCTCCCAGGACTGCTCGAAGCCAGCGCCCAGTGCTGGTACAGACCCCGACAGCCCAGTGGAAATCAGAGCAGCTTTCCCCGCAGTGCACCGCATGCCCATGTCGCACGCTGTCCGACAGCTGATCCCGCAGCGGGTCGCTCGAGCTGGTTCAAAAGGGTCCGTAGCACAGTCTCGTCAATTGGCGCTCAGCGTACATCACGACTCTCTTTCTTAGCTGGGCCAGGCGTCCCGAATGGCGTCCCCGCCTGCCTTCGGCAGCGCCGTCCTCGGCCTCGCCTTTCTTGTCGTCGAAGTCCTCCTCCGCCTCCTCCTCCTCCTCCTCCGCAGAGGCACCTCCGCTCGGCCCCATCGCGGCCCTCTTTGCTTGGCACTCCCCTCCCACGCGGCCTCGCCTCACCCGACCTCCACCGCATCCTCCTCAAGACCATCCTTGCTGGCGTTGACGCCGCCGGCACACGCGCGCGCACGCGGCCCCAGACCTCAGGACGCCGCCGGCTCGCGCTCGGGCCCCGCCGCCGCGGACCTGCAGGCGCCGATGTGGCGCGGCCTCGCAGCCGCCGCCCGCCGCCGCCTGCTCGCTGCGCCGCTGCACGCCTGCGCCGGCGCCGGCTCGGCGGCCGCGGCGCTCGCGGCGCCGGGAGGCCACGTGCGCCTGGAGGCCACGCACGCCGAGAGGGCCGGGCTCACGCGGCCGAGGGCGGGGGCGGATCTGTGGGCCGGGCTCAACGCCGACGGCGGCGTGGAGGCCGTCGAGAAGAGCCGAGGCCTCGAGGGGAGGAGGGGATGCCGCGCTCGCCGCACGCCTGGCGTTCTGGGGGAGCGCGGCGGGTCCGGCCGGGCCTGGGGGCCCCCCGAGGGGGTCCCGGTCCCGGGCCTTCCCCTCCTCCCTCCCCCCCGCTCCTCGCCGCTCCCAACCTCGACTAGGCGCAAGAGTGACCTTTCGCCAGGGTGGCCGTTTGGTGCGGGCACAGAGGGGGGCCCCCAGAGGGCCGAAAACGCGCGGCGGCAGCAGCGGCGAGCGCGCCTGGCTTTGGCCTCTCCCCGCGGCGCCCCCAGAGCCGCGCACCAGAGGTCACTCTTACCCAGGGTCACCCCAGACCCCCGACGTCATGATTTTTTCATGACGCGACCCCCAGAACTCTGGACCCATTCCCCGGGACCGGCTCTTCATCCTGAGTCGTTTTTTGACGGCCCCGAGGCCCGGTAAGGGCCCCCAGAGGCCGAAAATAGCGAAAAACCTCCCGTCGTGATTTTTTCATGACCCGACGGGGTCTGGGACTCTTGCGTGCAGCCGACGACCGCGCCGAGCCGCGCGGGCACGTGCCCTTCGCTTTCGCCCGCGGGTGCCGTGCGCGAGCGCGCACGGCACGCCCGCCCCGGGCTCCCGGGGGGGTTCGGCCCGGGCAGGACGACGGGCGGGGGGAGCACAGCCCGAGCTTCCCTACACCCGGGAGGGGAGAGAGCCTCCTTCTCCTCCTCCTCCTCCTCCTCCTCCTCCTCCTCCTCCTCCTCCTCCTCCTCCTCCTCCTCCTCCTCCTCCTCCTCCTCCTCCTCCTCCTCCTCCTCCTCCTCCTCCTCCTCCTCCCTCACACGGACACAATGAATCGTCGAGGCCCCGGAAAATCGTCGAAAATCCGGAAATCGGGAGGGGAAGTGTGGGAAGTGGGGGGGGAGACGAGAATCCAGAAAGCCTGAGACAATATGTAGGGAATCCTGGGATTTGTATATGTTTATTTGTGTGTCCCAGGGCCCCTTCAAATAACCTCAGGAAGGCATTAAGAACCCCCCCCCCTTGTCCGGTGGATTATAACGCCCCCGCACCCTGGAGCGTTATGGCCGCACCGGAAGACCTGGCTGAGGGGACTCGGGGCCTAGCTAAGGCCTGCCAAGCAAGGCTTTGCAAGACGTGCCAGGGATAAAGGTGCACAAAGATCTGGGCTAGATCCTTGACATTCGTCACGACACCCTCTCTTGGCGTTAGTGGGGCGGCCGCCGATGGTGGATTTTGTTTTCTGTGTGCGGCGGGTGCTAAGTGTATCGTTCGGCTAAAACTGCCCGCCTGGAATATTGAGAAAACCGGGTGCTGAGAATAACCCAGGGGGGGTTCTTAATGCCTTCCTGAGGTTACAAGGAGGGAGGTCTGATCTGGGGGGGGGTCTGGTCGGAGCTGTCCTGGAGGCTTCCAGGGAGTGTGGGCAAAGGGCCGCTCTCTCATGGCTCGCTTGGGGGGGGGTTCTAACTGAAATTGCTCGTCTGGCAGGTTTGTGGCCCCCCCCCCTTTTACAGTCAAGGCGCACAGGGAGGATGAGCGACTTTCCAAGGTCCTTGTATCCTTCCCCTTCGGCCCATCCTTGGCAACTTTCGCTGGCCAACCCCGTTCGAACATCGTCAACATGGCCTTCGAAGGCCCTTGCGTCCGTACCGCGCATCCTCACTATGCGTTCTGACTGTAGCTGCCGTCCTCCCCAGCGAGGCGAGCACCGCGTAGAGGAGCTGGGGAAGCCCGTGCACATCAGCTGCTGCCCCACGGGCACCGTCGACTTCGCGGCCGAGGGCTGCGGCGGCGGTGCGGACCCCATCGCGGCGACGGTGACCGCCCTGTCCAGGGCGATCTCGACGCACCCTCCCCGGTTCCTGATCCTCAGCGGCAGCCTGCGCAAGGATTCTGGGGCGTCCGAGAGGGGGCCGATGACAAGGGGGGGGGAGATCATGGCAGGGGCGAGGATACCTCCCCGGTGTCATGGCCCCCTCCTGTTCTTTATTACGTCCCCTGCATCCCCACCTCGTCCGCACATACACCTCGTCCGCCCCCCTCCACCCCGCTCCCTCCCCCCTGTCCTCTTGCATGTTCAGCGTGCGATGTGCGAGTGTAGTCGTACCCGCCGCCCAGCACTGGTCAATGAACAGTGGATGCGACCCGGCGCTTGTGCATTCCGCATGATTTTCTGCACATGTTTCTGGCCTTCGTTTTCAATCCAATTTCTGCCGATGCGCCGTCTAGGCGCGGCTTCTTCCTGCCCATGCTTTGCGAACCCCGTTCTTGGACACCCCCCTCCTCGCTCGCCCCCGAGAGGAGTCCTACTCCCGGAAGGCGGCGGTGGAGGTCGGCAGGATCCTGGCGGCGTACGGGGCGGAGGTGAAGCTCTTCGACCCGGAGGGGCTCCCGCTCTTCTCTCTGGACCTGAAGGCCGACCACCCGAAGGTGCTCAGAGTCAAACGACGCGAAGATCGGGACAAAATCGGATCGGGATAACTCGAAATCTCTGAGAATCGGCGGGTTTGGAGGATGTATTGGGCGCCGCGGCCGCTCCAGAGCGTTGCGGAACGCTCTGAGAGCGCTCCGGAACGCTGTGGAGCGATTTATCCCGATCTTAGCCTTGTTTTACAGAGAGGGACCCGGCAGAGGAGGCCAGGCTCGAGGGCCCAGGCCTTCGGGCGTCTTCGTCGGCGCTCGGCGGTTGTTGTCCCGACTCGGGATGCCTTCCGGCAGGTGCGCCTCGCCGAGGGCGTTCCGGGGGTTGCCTGCATCGCGCCGGTCGGCCGCCCGGGCCCGGCTTATGCCAGGAGGGGAAAAACACAGAAAATATATGAAAATATCGGAAGTGGTGGGGAAGACAAAAACCCAGAAAATATGGGGAAATATGGGGGAATCCTTTTATTTGTGTGTATTTATTTGTGTGTCCTGGGGCCCCTTCATTATGACCCGCAAGCCTCCGCTACCCCGGCCTCGGTCTCATCTTCTTGGGCCGTCCGGGAGGCCCTCGTCGCCACTGCTGGATTCGCCTCAAGGTTCTAGGACTCGGGGGTGGACAGACCTCCTACCCTGACACGTCGATTAAGGAATTGGCCGTTTTCGGTTCGCGGGAGGGCGTCGCGGCCGTCATTTTTGCAGGTCCGGGTCCTTCGGTTTCGGTCCCAGGCCGTTTTCACTAAGGGGAGGTCTACTAAAGGGAGGTTTGTCCACCGCCGAAGGACGCACAACAGAAGAGGTCTGTGGAGTAGCGGTATCGGTATCGAGGGCGCCTGCGGCGAATCACCGCCGCCCCCTGCCTTTTGAGATCGCCCATGTGGCCGAGCGAGCGTGGTGGCAAGAGCTCTGCCAAGCTATCGGACCATGTGTTCCCCTAGCCGTTGTGGAAACCCGTCGGGGAACACTTGGGGGAGGATGGCAGGGAAGATCAAGAGGAGGAGGAGGAGGAGGAGGAGGAGGAGGAGGAGAAGGAGGAGGAGGAGGAGGAACAACTAGGAGAAGGACGAATAGGAGGAGGAGGAGGAGGAGGAGGAGGAAGAGGAGGAGGAGGAGGAGGAGGAGGAGGAGGAGCAGGAGGAGGGGGCATCTTGGGAGCCTCTGGGAGCACTCTTGGAGCCTCCTGGGATGCTTATTGGGGTCTGTTCGGAGCGCTCTCGGGGGCCCCTTGGGGACAGTTTGGGGGCCTCTTGGGAGCCTGGTGGGGCCCTCTTTGGGGCCTCTTGGGGGCCTCTTCTTTGGGGCCTCATGGGGGGCCCCTCGGGGCCGAGGGCTCTACATGTCCGCTCGGGTTCCCCATCTGGGCCCCCCATGGAGCCGTCATTGGGCCGTCTTGGGGCTGCCTTGTGGGCCCTCTTGGGGGCCTCTTCGGACGTCTCTGGGCGGTATTGGGGGCGTCTTGGGCCGTCGTGGAGCGTCGGGGAGCCGAAAAGGCGAGAAGGCCAAGAACCGTCAACAACCTATTGGAAGATATGTGATTGTTGCGTCTTGGGGCCCTCTTGGAACGCCTCTTTGAACACTCTTGGGCCGTCTTGGAGCTGTCTCGGGCATCTTCGGCCGATCGTTCGGCGATTCAGGGCCCTCGTGGACCGTTTGGGGGACATCTTGGGGCCCTGTTGGCCCGTCTTGGAGCCCTCTCGGCTCCGAAAAAGTCACGCGACAACATTCGAGGAGCCCCGAGAGATTTGAGAATTTGGGCTCTGGGCCCCGAAGAGACTCCTCAGGATAGAGGACTGAGGCATCGAGGATTAGGCAAAGGACCTGAGGACACGCCCGCTCCGTGCCCAGGGGCACGGTGGCGGATCTTTGGGCTTCCGCAGGTGAAGGAGTTGCGGCAGCTGACGCGGTGGTGCGAGGGCATGGTGTGGATCTCGCCGGAGATCCACGGAAATTACTCGGCGGTCTTCAAGAACCAGGTCGACGGGAGGTTGGAGTTGGAGTGATGCGGTGGATCGCGCGCTCCTTGCCCTTCCTTGCCCCCCTCTTTCCAACATGTCCGCCAGCGTGGTCCCAAACAGTGCGTGATTGCACCGCGGAGGGGAAAGCCGTGCGGTGCCAGCCATGTGGTGAAACCCATAGCGTGCAAGCGAGGTGCTGTGAGCTGTGTGGTCTAAGCCACGTGAGGTGAGCTGTGCTGCACAGGCCATGCGCAGTAGGCCGCGTGGTGCAGGCTGTGTGGCGAAGGCCGTGTGGTGAGAGCTGCGTCGTGCAAGCTCAGGCCACGGGGCGCCCACGAGGTGCCTGCGAGGCGTCACGGGCGGCAGTGTGGCGCAACCTCGGCACACACCCCAGGCGCGTGGTGCCCGCGAGGCGGCTCGGGAGGCAGCGTGGCGAAGATCCAGAGTACCCCCAGCCAACTGCGCATGCAAACGGGGAAGGAGCCCCTGAGTGCGAGCACTGTCTGGGGGATGCTGCGCCGAAGGGAAGGCGGGACTGACGAGAACACGGCATGCGTGTGCAAGTCAAGCCGACTCGCATGAGCCCAGGCGGCGCCGGCATGCTCGTGCGTCTCGGCTCTTCTGGCTCACCTGTAAGCTAGCGTTGGGGCAGGCTTGTGCGGATCCTCGGCGACGGCCGCAATTTGGAAACCTCAGACGATTGCATTGCAAAACACAAGTTTCAAGAGTCAGGTCGACTGGATGCCGCTCAGCGAGGGCGCCATTCGCCCTACGCAGGGCAAGACGGTCGCCGTGATGCAGGTCGAGGCCGGCTCCCAGAGCTTCAACACGGTCAACAATTTGCGGACCCTCGGCAGGTGGATGCGCTGCGTAGTGATACCCAACCAGGGTAGTATTCCGCAGGCTTACAAAGAGTTCGGAGAGGACGGCTGGTAAGATTTAGGGCTGCGCACAGACAGCCCCCCCCAGGTAGTCCCAGCTGGCTTCAACCACCCTCCCGGACTTGAGGGGCTCAGATCGCCCTGGACTTCTCGGGAGGCCTGTTGAGGCCGGCTGGGGCTATCTGTGCGAGCTGTCTGTGCGCAACCCGACGCTTTATCGAGGACGGCACCCTCAAGGATTCGGCGCTGCGCGACCGGGTCGTCGACGTCGTGGACGAGCTGTTCAAGTACACTTTGTTGCTGCGGGACCAGCAGCCCTACCTCGTCGCACGCTACAGCGAGAAGAAGGCCCTCGCAAAAAAGCACCTGGAGCAGACGAAGAGGGCGTCGGACGTCGGCACCCTGCGCTCCCTGGACAGCCCCGTGGTCATCGACGTGCGCTCCTCCAGAGAGGTCGCGGAGATGAAGGGGGGCCCGGCGGTGGCCGGGAGCGTCCACGTGCCCCTCAACGTGGACAACAACCCGCAGACCGTCCACGAGACCACCGCGGAAGAGTTCCAGAAGAAGCTGGAGAGGGCGGGAGTTCTGCCAGCGGCCAGCAAGAGCGCTGCGTTCATCACCCACTGCTCAGAGGACACCGACCGGTACTTCGGCCGCGGGGCGCGCGCCGCGGCGCTGCTCCGGGACCTGGGATACCCCAATGCCCACAACGGCGGCAGCGCCGACATGGTCCGGGCGGCTCTTGGTTGAGCGAGCGCTGCGCCCTCCCTGTTGCTCAGCCTCAAGTTTTGAGCCTTGGTCCTTGCAGCCTCGTGTCCATACCTGAGCCTGACATCTGGCATCACGGCATCACTCGCCCCCAGTTGGCCAGGTGTCCGTTGCGCGTGTGTATATGATGTCTGGGTGGACGTGCGCATGGCACGAATCGTAGTTTGAGTCTTCCCCTGGCACGATGTTTCCAGTGTGGGGCGACCTCGACCTGCCCGGCAGCTGGGCTGCTCATTTACAGCCCAGGTGTCGTTGTCGGTCGCCAATAGTTTACCCCCGTTGAGGATGTGTAGTTCTGGCTGGCAATCTCGATCGATAGCCTTGGGCTTTCACTGACAGTGGCGCTCTCACAGAAAGTTGCAGAGGGCCTTCACCTCCGTCTAGGTGTTCTGTCGCGGAGGAGGAGGAGGCGGAGAAGGAGCGAGGAGCGAGGAGGAGGAGGAGGAGGAGGAGGAGGAGGGAGGAGGAGGAGGAGGGAGGAGGAGGTGGAGGAGGGGAGGAGAAGGAGGAAGGGGGAGGAGGGGGAGGAGGAGGAGGGAGGAGGAGAAGGAGAGAGGAGAGAGGAGGAGGAGGAGGAGGAAGAAGAGGGCGGGAGGGCGCAGAATGAGGGAAGAGGAGAAAGGAAGAGGAGGAGAAGAGAGGATGAGGATGAGGAGGAGGAGGGAGGAGGAGGAGGAAGAGGAAGATGAAGAAGAGCGCGGATGAGGAGGAGGATGAGGAGGAGGAGGAGGAGGAGGAGGAGGCGGAGGGGCGGGATGGCGCAGGAGGAGAGTAGGAGGAGGGAGGAGGGAGGAGGAGAAGGAGGGAGGAGGAGGAGGAGGGAGGAGGTAAGGAGAGGAGGTAGGAGGAGGAGGAGAAGGAGGAGGAAGAAGAGAGGAGGAGGAGGAGGAGGAAGAGGCGGAGGAGGCGGAGGCGGAGGAGGCGGAGGAGGAGGTGGAGAGAGAGGAGGCGGAGAGGAGGAGGAGGTGGAGGAGGAGGAGGAGGAGGAGGAGGAGGAGGAGGGAGGGCGGATGGGGAGGAGGAAGAGGAGGAGGAGGAGGAGAAGGAGGGAGGAGGAGGAGGAGGAGGATGAGGAGGAGAAAGAGAGGGAGAGAAGGAGAACGGGGGAGGGCGGAGCAGGAGGAGGGGGGAGGAGGAAGAGGAGGAGGAGGAGGAGGAGGAGGAGGAGGAGAAAGAGGGGGAGAGAGGGAGAAAGAGGGAGGGCGGAGCAGGGGGACGAGGAGGAGGACGAGGAGGAGGAAGAGGAGGAGGGAGCAGGTAGGATTGGAAATGTGTGAGGGGGTTGCATCCTCAGCCGAGCAGAAGGTCGCAGAGCACTTTAGCAAGGCGCTGCATCCTTAGCCTGAGTTGGCGGAGGACTCGCACAGCGAGTTGCCCTCCATCTACGGTCGGGAGCTTTGGCTTAGCGTGTCGCGCCGCTGGTTCTGGCCCACCACGCTTCGGCGCGACATGCTATCCACGGCCTGGCCCTGATGCGTCAACGTCTCGAGCTGTTCCCAGCCTCCCGCCCCGCGGAGCAGGACGGTACGCTATTTGTTTGCAGGACAAAGCGTGTCGCTTGGGCAGCCCCTCGCAACACGCGAAGCAGAAGTTCCTGACCATGGGCTGTGGCCCTTTCTCTTGCGAGCAGACGTGCTCCCGCATGTTACCCCCCTGCGCGTCGAGTGATCGGTTCAGGATACCCATCGCACATAGTCGCAATCGCTCTCGTCACCTCCCTCCTCATTCTGCCTCGTCCTCCTCACCACCGTCGCCCGCCCTCCCCGAGCCGCCGCCCCCTCTCGCCCCCAGAGGCGCCTGAAGACCATGTGCGACGAGCTCGACCGCATCTCGGGCACCCCCATCGCGCAGCGCAAACGCAGGCTGCAGCCTGGGACCGGCCGAAGGGGGGCGCAGAGCAGCACCTCCTCCAGTGGTGTGGGGCACGCCGGCGCGCTCGTGTGTCGAGGCGCCCGCCGGCGTGTCTGCACCGCCTGCCCTGCCCCGCTCCCTGGGTGTGGAGCGCGCTGCCATCTGGGACGACCCTGGAAACGACCGACCTCCCCTGGTCCTCCTGCTCCTCCCGCTCCTTCCACTCCAGCTTATGCTGCTGCTGTGCGTCCTCGCCCCCCTTCTTCCTCCTCCTCCTCCTCCTCCTCCTCCTCCTCCTCCTCCTCCTCCTTCTGGCCCAGCGGCAGAAAGCTCAGCTGCAAGGAGCACACGGGTGAATTCAGCCTCCTCCATCTTCCGTACAATGTTTTGCGGACACAGTTGCATATACCGCGCAGGCTCTTCCGGGGCTTCCAAGTCAGGTACACCGCGCGCATGGACCGCCCATGGTGTGAGGGTGTGCCCCACTTGGCTTGGGCGCGTGCTCGTTCTGAAGCCCTCGCCCTCCGGCGTATTTACCGTGCCAGTAAAACTGCGGCACTCGTTGGGCAAACTTTCACTTGGCCACGTGCAGTATTTGTGGACATCGGAGATCGTTACCCCACTGAACAGCACGTGATGCGACAATCTGAACAAACGCGACCGTGGACGCTGTCCACCGCCTGTCAAAAGATGGTAGTTCGTGCCTTGAACAAGCCGCCGTCGCACATCTGCCAGATGGTCTGCACCAGCAACCAGAGAGGCTTCATCTGGAACAACAGCATGTTAGACAAAATTATCAATCACGAACACATGGAGTTACCTGGGTGAAAAGGCGAACCAGGAAATCCAGACGCGAACCAGGAAACTCGAACCAGGAAATCCGGTCCCGAAAATAGGAAACGTCCCTCGGTTGAGCAGGGACTGTTTCGGGCGAGCGGGGACATTCCCTGGGAGCCTGGGAATTGTTTCCAGTCGAACGAAGATTTGTTCTTGCTCAGCGACGAACTTTTCTGGCCGAGCGAGGATTGTTTCTTTCGGATTTGGATTCTGGGAGGTGAGTTCCGTTGCTCGTTGCCTTGTGGTTCTCGGCACAGGGTTGACTCCACGATTCCGACCTCCGGGGTCGGGGCGTGCCTTTTACATCGGGTGTCGTCGTGTTGGGGCTTTCCGGGGCCCGCTGTGCAGCAGGCAGCCGTGGGCTCCACTTGCCTCTTGCTGGGGTGTTCCTCGCGGCGCGCGGCTCCTCGGCCACCCTCAGCGGAGGTCCGCTGAAGTAGGGTGGGCGGCCTCTCTGCTCTCCTTCAGCATGGCCACCGTCGTGTCCTCATCGTAGGAGCCGCTCTCCGAGAATTGCAGACTGATGGCCTTCGGCACCTTCCGTAGGTTGAGGTCCTGGAGCTTCTCGGGCGCTTTGGCCTTGAGGCAAACGACTGGCTTGAAGTGCCTGCCGTTGGAGCTTGAGAAGAGCACAGTTGTGTGCCTGTCGTGGTCCCCATGGGTTGTCCTCGAGAGCTCCGACCCGCGATTCCCTTGTCGGGGCAACCATGTTCCCCGTGGCGAGGCGCCTCGTGGTGGGCGTGTGGTCGAAAGCATCCCAGTGGAGAGTTGCGGGGTAGAAGCAGCATGCTACGCGGATACAGTTCCGCCACAACATACCAAGCTGCCGACGGCACTCCTCGAAGCTGAGGCTGTAGGTGCGGCTCTTAAGGCGAAGGGACAGGTTGAACCTGTCCCGCCAGTTGGCGAGCCAATTGTTCAACCAGTTGGTCGTACGCCAAGCCTTGGGCAACTCGCTCTCCCCGCCAGCAGTCTGCTCGTAGCGCAAGAACAACATCTCCGCCTGGGCTTTCAACAGGCTCGACGGCACGCGGCCCCGTAAGTCCACGAACCCTGTGAGGAAGCAGTTGTATAAGGCTTCGCCGATTTCGACAAACTGGTTGGGCGCCCCCCGCCAGGCGCTCGTTTCCGACTGGACATACCGTCTGTCAAGTTTGCGAAATCGCCGGGGTTGTATTGCATCTGGGCTTTCTGCACGACCTTTTGGAGCCACTCCCTGACCTTTTTCTTCTCGTCGTACGCGTGCTTCTCAACTTTGGAAAGCTTGTTGTAGGCGGGCCCAGAGAGCTTCTCCTGTTTCCCCCAAGCCCAGTCGACCGACGCAGAGATCCATTATTTCGCTTGCGGCCCGTTCTTGAAGAGGTGGGCTCTCTCGCCCAGTTTCGCCCGGAAGCGGAGGAGGAAGTCGCTGCGTTGGCGATCGTTGCCCTTGCGTTTGCGCCACGCGTCCGACTCATTCGCTTTCAAGTTCTGCAGGAGCTCTGGGGAGAGGTGTTCTTCCGCGTGGAGAAGAGACGCCTCCAACTCATCCTCGGGGGGATCCTCCACCCCCACGATGTTGGCCACAAGGAATGGCAAGCACCACCACGCGAGGCGGACATGCGTCTGCCTGCGCAGGGTAGGCGTTGTTCCCCCTGAGGGTTCCTCGCGCAACGCTGCGCGGACCGGCATTGCTCCAAATGGCTGCGGGTCGCGGCAACGGCAGCAGCGTAATGAATGTTATGACCAATAGTTCCACCGTACCTGCCATCATTCATCGACAGTACGGTCTCACCATCAGCATCGTAATCAATGGTATCATTGATGGCTTCGTCATTATAGTGAAACGAATCCTGGTTAAACCATGATTCGCGCCATCGCCACTGCGTCTCATTATTATGTTTGCTGTTTTAACACAGTGCAGTTCGCGAGTTGATGGCAACAATCATACTCATTGTTTTCACTTGCATAGTGTGTGCAGGCATGTTCGGTAAATCCCAGTCGCATTGTCATTATTGGTGTCATCGCCGCCACCATCGTCATCGTCACCGTCGTCGGCATTACCATGTTCAGGATTACCGTCGCTATCGCCTCGTAGTCGTCGTAGTCGTCGTCGGTGTCATCGTCGTCGCCACCGTCTGCGTTGTCGGTGCCGTCGTCGACCAAGTCGTCATGATTGGTGTCGTCCCCTTCGGCGTATTCGTCGTCATCGGTGTCGCCGTCGTCGTCGTCATCGATGTCGTCGGTGTCGTCGTCATCGATGTCGTCGTCGGTGTCGTCGTCGCCGTCGTCGTCGTAGTAGTCGTCGTCCTGGT